TAATTAAGTTTGGCATAATACTTTGTACAGTACTATTACATATTTCTACTTTAATGTGGAGCATGTCTGACTAGCCAAGTGCAGTGCCTCTCTCTCTCTCCACCTGGGCTCCAGCAATCCTTATAGAAAAGTAAAGTGTCCTGGAGTGTTCAGTTGTTATTATGCTTTTAAAGAGGCTAATATCAAATGAAGACAATTTTTAAAAAGGTGCTGGATACAGGGAAGTATACAGATGAGGTGTGTGAGTGTGTAAGATCGGTGTAATTATGGAGGAGAGAAAGTAAAAGATGTCTAATAAATATGTTAAAGAATAGGTACTGCATGAATCAACCTTCTGGAAAACATGTAACAACACACAAGTGAACATACTGGACGTGGCATGCTATATGTTTACCTTAATAAGAGATGAGTTTATCTTGGGCCACCTCCAGGATGAGTGAAGGAAGTGGGTGAACTTTTGACAGTTTCTTTAATACATCTTTGTTGGTCAGGTCCCTCAGTCTACTTCCCCGACCTCGCCTTCCTCTGTCACAATAAAAAGTGAGTTAGTGAGGAAATACTGTACACGTACAGGCATCCCTCAAAGTACAGAAGCTGAGTAATGAAATTCACATTAAAGGAACTAAAAATATGGAATAATCTTTGAGATACAGAGGAAAAACTTCCATTAGTTACTGGGACACTGCACAGCACAGTACAGTACAGTACAGTACTGTGTGGATTTGCTCAGATCCCATGAAGAATCTCACCCAAGTATTACACCTAGAGATTAACCACCTTAATGCTATTTGGGTGGATGAGGTTAGGTTAGGTTAGCATTTGGGTGGTTAATGTTAAGTGAAATAAACTAGGGTGGAGATTCATCAGGTGATCCCATTATCACAGGTGCAGTAAACTTGGTGGGGGCTTTCCAGTTTTATTCTGTGTTTTCCTTTAATTTGTATACATGTTAAAGTTTATAAGGTAAGTTTAAAATTTAAAGACCAAAATATTTTATTGCACAGCAAAGTTAGTCACAGATCTGTAATGTGCAGTTAAGGGTCAATTTTGGGTGTATGTTTTAGGGCTGCCGGTCACTTACTGTACCTTAAATTTCCCATTGAAATACAGAGAATGATTGAACATGATTCAACACCACCACACCTGCTGTGCTGATAGTGAAGTAAAAGAATTAAACATTAAACTTTTGAGATGACTATCACAGATTCATATCATTCTTGATGGCAGAAATCTTTTCTCTAAGAAAAAGTAATACTGTACGAGTATTATAACTAATTAAGATGAAAAACTTTTAAATATTATTGGTAAAGGTGGATGAGACAATTTACCACCAGAAGTAACTTATGGATCTGAACCAAAATTCCTGGAGATACTATTTGCATGAAAACGAAAATGGAAGCAAGAATATACAGAACCTATTAGAACCTGACCTAACCTTATCTAACATCTAACCTGGACACTTTCAGCAGACACCAGAAAGAAATGGAGGCCTTTTAAAAGTGGTGTTATAGGAAAATGCTAAGAAAAAGGCTGCAGAGAAAAACAAATGAAGAAGTACAGTACTGTACTAAGATTGTAAGAACTTCTAGAGAAATACTTGAAATGTACACAGAAAAAGAAAAATAGAATGCTTTGTCATATAATTAGGGATGAGGGAATAACAACAAATATTAATGGACAAAGTTGAGGATAGAAGACCACAGGGGCCAGGGAAGGCAGAGACTGGGATGGAGGAAATAAATTAATAACTGGGTTCCAAGAGAGAGATACAAAACCTCAGAGGATTGGTAAAACAGCCCACAGATATGAGGAATTACTCTGTATAACTTGATCTTTAAATTCTACTCACAACTGGTTGAAAATTGTCAAGGTTTTGGTGGTGCATCCGGTCACAAGAAGAATCAGAATGGTAGTAGGTGGATTATATTATATATAAAGATAATAATATGTCATATTTCTTATTTCTTACCGTAGAATCCGATACCTTCACACTGATTACTTACAGGAAGATTATGGTGTATCTACGTAGAAGTTCACTCCACCACTCGACATTCCATGATTTATATGATAAATGATGATTTAATGAATTCATTTAATTTTCAACATCTATCTAAGTTATTGGTTAATAACCGGATAGTTATGCATTTGCATATTTCATATGCAAATGCATATTTTAAATGATTTCTATGATAAGTGCATATTACTAGATAACTGCATATAAATGCATATTTTGGTAAAATATTCATCTGGCAGTATCTCTTTGTTGCCACTGAATGAGCACACGTGGTACTGGGAGGGCGGGGTTAGGTGAAGTGAGGTGAGGTCACGTCCTTTAATCTGTCGTTTCCACCTGGTCATGACTCATTGGACTAGTGAGTTAGTCAGTCAGGAGCAGTGCTGCTGTGTGGAGCTACTCTCTTCTGCTGCTCGTGAAAATACCGAAAGTACAAAGAAACCAAAATGAAGTGCTGAGATCATATGTAAGGAATTTGATGCATTTACTACTGATGGAAGTGTACTGTTTTAATAAATATTGTGAAGCACCAGTGACAGCAGGCAAGAAATTTC